GGGGGGGGGGAGGTCCAGTAGGGAGGAAGGAGGCTGCTTAATAATTACATAGGACAGGGTTTCTCAACCTTAGCAACTTGAAGATGTCCGAACTTCAACTCCCAGAATTCCCCAGCCAGCAAATGCTTTTTCCCCCACTTTTGCTGAAGTCAAGATATATTATGTTTACCGCATTCCCACCATCTACATATAAGGAAAGTTATCCTATCAAAAAACACGATAACGTCGCCCCGTCACATTTGTTCTTGTCCTATCCGTGCTGGAATCCTGGTGTTCAACCCCCTGATGGCTGGGGAATTCTGGGAGTTTTAAGTCCACCGGTTGTAAAGTTCTCATAGTCGCCGGCCCGTTTTAGCTACTTGTAACAACTCCGTTCTCGGTTGAGGAAGAGATCAACGAAGAGGATAGAACTGCCGAGTGTCACTCGGAGAAATGACCCTCAGTTCTGCTGAAATGCTATCCAGGTAGTCCTTGACTTACGACCATTTGTTTAGTGACCAAAGTTAACACAGGACTGAAAAAAGTGACTTCAACTGGTCCTCATACTTACGACCGTCGCAGCATCTCCACAGCCACATGATAAAAAAAAAATTCACGTGCTTGGCGACCAGAATTATTTTGGACAGTCTCAGCGTCTCGGTCTGTGTGTTGGTGTGTATGTGTGTCTATTGGTGACCTTCCCAGCCGGCTTCCGGCCAGTGAAGCCAATGGGAATTTGCTTAGTGACCACATGACTCGCTTAACGACGCTAGAGATTCACTTAAGAATCATAGGAAAGTAAGGTGGTTAAATCAGGTGCAAATTACTTCACGAAATTCTGGTACTGATTTGGTCGTACGCTGAGGACTAGCTGCATGGGATCGAAGCAAAGCTTCATGTGCATCGCGACGCACATTGACACCCAGTTGTGGCTGCCCTCTTGACCTTTTTGGAACCCCTCCCCAGTTCCCATAATCCCCCCCACCCCAAAAGGACCACAAAATGGGGCACAAAAATCGCATTCAATTCCTTTTCCCAGAGAGAGAGAGAGGACTCCGCCCTTTCTCGCAGCCCCACAGAAAGGAAGTGGCGGGAGGGGGCGCAGCGCGATGAGCCCGATCCTTACCTGCCCCAATGACCTCCTCGATCTTCACGTAAGAGACGTCGATCTCCTTGGCAAACTCTCGCACGGCCTCGTTGGGGTCCTCGTAGGTGAAGGGGTCGATGTAGACTTTGGTACCTGTCCGAAGATGGGTCAGGCGGGCAGCTGTTAAGGGGGCCTCCCCCCAGCCGGTTTGATTTTCTTAGCAGTACAGGCAGTCCTCGACTTGCGACTGTTCGCTTAGTGACCATTCGAAGTTACGACGGCGCCAGAAAAAGGGAGTTACGACCATTTTTCACCCTTGGATTATCGTTCACCCTTTTGACCTTTTTTTTTCACTCTTACGACCACCCGCAATGTGATTTACATTCGGATGCTGGACCACTGACTCCTATTTACGACGGTTGCAGTGTCCCAGGGGATGGGGGGGTTTCCCATGATCCCCTCTGGTGATTTTTTGACCAGCAAAGGGTTACAGGCGAAGCAGGATTCACTTAACAACCGGGTTCTTCTCTGAATGACCACCGCAGTTCACTTAACCCCGGCGGGCAAAGGAAGGTTGTGAAAGGGGGCAAAACACACTTACAAACCATCTCGCTTAGCGACATAAATTATGCACCGTCGTAAGTCAAGGATGGCCCTCATTCTATTTACAGTTCTACGTAGTTCTGTCTTTTTATAGCGCAAAGCCGTTCCAGATTATGCCGTTGTGGCCGGCCAGTGGTCAGTGGAGCTGGCAGCAGACGTCGGAGAGCGAGGAGGTTGGGGAGGGACATGGGCCAGTCCTGGAGTCTGGGGGAGGCTCGGACGAGGGCTCTGCGTCGGAGGCAGAGAGGGGGACAGGGCCGTCTGACAGTTATCAGCTGCCTTCAGAGTCGGATACCAGCGAGGCAGAAGAACAGTGTGAGCCGGTTCCCAGTGCGCGCATGCGCAGAGCTGCCAGAAGGCATGAACAGTTAAGACAAAACGGGGAGACTCGGGAGTAAGGCTTGGAGGTGATTGGCCCCTCCCATAAGACATAAAGGAGGAGCGAATGGGATGTGAGTCTTTGCAGGGAGCAAATTTTGTTCGTTTTGGTCGGTTCAAACTCTGAAGCTCCGTTTGACTCTGTGCTCCGTTTGGCCTTGCAAAACGAATTGGCCATTAAGGCTCCGGCAGCGTTTCAAGGGAGAGAAAGGTGGGTGCTTCTCAGCCTTGCCTTGAAAGACTTTGGCCGACTTCTGCAGGACTCTTTACAAACTATTTGTGACTTATTATGGGCTGGGAATGACCACAATTCACAGCCGTAGAAATAAAAAGAGGGTTTTTGGGACTAAGATTGTGATTCATGCTTTCTGAGGAGGCCTAGTTCAGAAGAGGCTGTGATGGGCAGCTAGTAGATTTTGCAAATAAACAAATTCCCAACAGCCTAACTCCCCTCCAGCCCCCTCCCACAATTCCACAGGCCCCCTTAGAGAAACCCCCACCCCACCCCAATGAATCTCTTCCCATTCTCACCGTGCCCAATCAGGTATTGTCCGGGTTTGTCTGAATATTCTTGCTCTCGGGAGGCAGAAGAGCCCTGGCGCCTAGCGGAAACGGTAGAAAGACGGTGTGAAGGCCGCTTGCTCGCCTGAAGCCCCTCCCACCCCCACTTAGCCCCTCCCTCTCCCATTAGCCACACACCCCCATGCCTCAATTCAAGAATCACCCCGCTGGTCAATCCTGAACATCCCTCACCCCACAGGCTCCTCTGCGCCTCCCCGATTTGTACAAGGCTACCTTCGATGCCGAAACTCCCGGGTGCCGCTTCTCCCCTAGTCTTGGCTAAGCCCCTCCCACGTCCTCCTGGCCCCTCCCACTCCTCCTATTGTGAAGCAGCGCCTTTACCGGAGGCAGACCACAGCTACGATCACCACGGCCAAGACGAGGAGGGTCCCCAAGGCGGCCGTGCCCACGATCAGCGCCAGCTTCTCCGTGCTGCTCCCCGACTCTGCCGGGAAGAGGGGCAAAGGGGTCAGAAAGAGCAAGGAATGATGGGAAGGGAGCAGGCGGGATCCGGATGGGGAGTTCGAGTCGAGAACTGGCAGAGTCTGGACTCTTAAAACTTGGTGGGCAAAAAACACCGTTCCTTTCCTTTTATCTTCCTTTCCTCTCTTCTCCTCTCTCTCTCCTTCTCTCCCCTCTTCCCTTTCCTTTCCTCCTCTCTTTCCTTTCCTTTCTTTCCCTTCCCTCTTTTATCTTCCTTTCCTCTCTTCTCCTCTCTTCCTCTCCCCTCTTTCCTTTCTCCTTTCCTTCCCTCTCCTCCTCTCCCCACTTCCTTTTCCTCTCTCTTTCCTTTCTTTTCCTTTCTTTCCCTTCCCTCTTTTATCTTCCTTTCCTCTCTTCTCCTCTCCTCTCTCTTCCTCTCCCCTCTTTCCTTTCCTTCCCTCTTTCCTTTCTCCTTTCCTTTCCTCCCCTCTTCCCTTTCCTTTCCTCCTCTCTTTCCTTTCCTTTCTTTCCCTTCCCTCTTTTATCTTCCTTTCTTCTTTCTTCTCCTTTCTTCCTCTCCCCTCTTTCCTTTCTCCTTTCCTCTCCTCCCCCTTCCCTCTTTTTTTCCTTCCCTTCCCTCTTTTAATCTTCTCTTTCCTCTCCGTTCCATTCTGTTTTGTTTTTTTTGTCATTTTAAAAGGGCTTCATTGCAAATCTATTTAAAAACCCTCGTGGGGAAACTACAGCTCCCTGTCTCCTGGTGACTGGCTCAAAATCACTCAGCCAGGTTTCCTGCCTAAAGTGGGATTCAGAACTCCCAATTTCCCGGTGATTGGCCCAAAGTCACCCAGCTGGCTTTCCTGCCTAAGATGGCACTAGAATTCACCACCTCCTGGTTTCAAGGCTTGGTGCCTCCCCCATGAGACCAAATTGGCTTTGCCCATTTACAACTTCGAAGCATCTTTAGCGGGTGAGGAGGAAGAGGAGTGGGGGAGAACAAGGAGGAGGGTCGCGCTCTCACAGCTTCTCGGTTCTCTTGCAGACGTCCCATGGCCCAACTACGTCATGTCATAAAATAAGCAAGCTCAGAGGACCCCCCGAGGACCCTCGCTTGCAACCCAGAAAAGGGGGTCTTACCAGATCCGTACGTCTGGAAGGTCTTTTCTGGCCCAAATCCTCCGTAGCCGACCTCCGAACGCGCCCGGACTTGCACAATGTATGCGGCTCCTCGACGCAGCCCGGATAGGGTCACTCGGTTCTCACGCGTCTTCTCGAACTTGTAGCCACCAGCCCCCTACAAGAGAAGAGACGGGGAGTGAGATCGCGGCCCTTTGCCGCCGTCTCCCCTGGAGGAGAATCCCCCGCCGGAGCCTCCTTCCTTCCGTCCCACGTCTGAACAGGCGTGCGCATCCGGCCAGGGGTTTCCGAGTCCTTCCCGTTGGTATACGGCGGACCGGGAGGCGCTAATGATCTTTATCTGCCTTTCAACCGGAGCGTAATTTCCGCACAACGCTCAAAGGCCTCATTCGCATTTCGATGCGCTGTTTGGATAACCCAAGAAAGAAAGTCGAAGGGGGGGGGATGATGGATTCGTGTAACGACGGTGTGTTCACTTAATAACCGTGGGCCAAAAGGTGGCAAAAGTAGGTGGAAATAAGGACTTACGTTGAAATAATTGGCTGCTCCCACAAGATCTTGACCATCTGATTTTCGGTGACTTTTTCAGGCTGATGTTCCCACCAGTTTTTTGCTGTTTTAATATTGTAATTTTTGCACAAATTCCAATGGATCATTTGCGCTACTGAATTGTGCCGCAATTTATAATCAATCTGCGCGATTTTTCAGCAGCTGAGTATGTAAAAAAATCACGCAGACTGATTATAAATTG